TATAAACTCAGGCTTGAGCCGAGCCTAAGACTTTTGGGCTCAGCTCGGCCTGAGCTTTATGAGGCTCGGCTCAGCTCAGCCTATGAGGAGCTTTAGGCCTAACCCATAGCAAAGAGATTATATTCTGCAAAGAAAAAAGAAGAATCTGAGGACCACGGGAAAAGAAGGAGAAAGAAAATGTCTCCTATTCAATAATCACTTATAGCTCAAGATGTCCCACCCTACTCTATAGTTACTAACTTATTAACGACAAAAGTTAACATCATATTAGGATAACTATTAACAATGGCACCCTATTGAATGGAAGCACGAAAAGTCCTGACAATAAGATGATCAAAGGTTACGAAAGCAGCAAACTATACGAATACGGAAGGAAACATGCCTATGATGTGCAAAGCTCGGGTCACAAGATGGAAGGTTGAAGTGATCCTCGACAGCGGGTCATCTATTAGCATCGTCTTGAAAAATTTCATGGAATCGCTAAGAAGAAGGATCGAGAGACCATCGAACAGGAGGATAATTGGCATACACAGTTGAGAGACGTCCTAGCTTGGGAATCGTAACTCAAGTACCAGTAAAGTTGAAAAATAAAACTGTGGCAGTAGATATGGAAGTAATCGATACAACAGGATATGCATTAGTCCTAGATACGGACTGGTTGAGGAAAGCGAAGGCCATTATCGATTACCAAGAATGTAAGCTGATACTAAAGGATGACGAGGGGATGGTGGAAGTCCCTTGCAGAAATACGAATCCGATATCGTCAAATGGCAATGAAGACGAGGATAGCGAAGACGAAAGTGAAGACACTGATTTGGATGAAAAAAGTGATGTGACGGATTTTGCAGAATTAACCTACGAACTATCACAGCGAGAGGCCGACATGATATACAAGATCATTTCTGAGGAAATACGCACAAGCTCCAAACTCATCAACTGGAAAATACACGATTACCTAACATATTGTTTCGATGGCATCAGAGGGAAAAAGGATAGATGTGAAGTGATGGGACCAAAGGCATACTGCTGGTGCGACCGATATCTAGAAATGAAAGAAGACAGGTGTGAGATATGTGAAGAACGACTGCAAGACTGGGAAGTCACATCTGTGCTTCCAAGGAACGAAATCCATAATATTCACGCTAACCTGGCACATGGAAACATGGAGATACTTGAAGAAAATGAACACAAGCAGCAAGTCAACAAGGTTATTCAAGAATTCTTGGAGCTGGTGACGAACGACATATTGCAACTTGGGAGAACTAATCTATATCAACATACTATAGACACTAGTGAGGTGAAACCTATAAAACTACACCCATATCGTACCTCCCTGCAATACTTGAAATTCTTGAAGGAGGAAATGGCCCAAATGTTAGACAACGGATTGATCTAGAAGTCTTTTAGCTCATGGTCTACGTCCACGGTGGTAATAAACAAGAAAAATGAAAAATACAGGCTTTGCGTCGACTACAAAAAGTTGAATGCAGCGATGAAGCCAGATGTATACCCTATGCCACGAATAGCTGATATACTAGATGCCCTAGGACACTCCGCTTATTTCTCAACGTTAGATCTAGTATCAAAATTCTGACAGGTGGAAGTATACCTGCCACCCAAATTCAAAATTCAAATGCCGAAATCCCAAATGCTGAAATCCCAAATCCCAAATTCCAAATTATAATTAGTATTTTTTGTCGAAATCCCAAATCCCAAATTCCAAATACTAGTAATTTGGGATTTGGGCAACACGTATAGGTGAAAGTAACACTAAGAACAGAAAAAAAATCGCCTTCGACACACCTTGCGCCATATACGAATTTGTTGTGATGCCCTTTGACCTGATCAATATTACCACAACGTTTTAGCAGGTAATGAACAGAGCTCTGCACGAGGTCCCCTGAAAATTTGTACTTGTATACATTGACGATATCATTCTCTTTTCGAAGACTCATGAAGAACACGTGAAATACCTTAAGAACATTTTTATGCTTCTGGTAAAAGCGGGATTAAAAATAAATCTGGAAAAGTGTGATTTCTTTAAAACAAGACTTGCATTTTTGGGTCACGTAATAACGATCGAAAAAATTTCACCTGATCCGTCAAAAATCGAAAAGGCGCAACTTTACCTTATTCCACAAGATAAAACTAATGTTCATACTTTCCTAGGACTAGTATCCTACTATCGCAGATTCATAAAAAGGTTTGTCATGATCGCAAAACCACTACATAACTTGACAAAAAAAGATTTTCCTTTAAGTGGACACATGAACATCAACTTGTTTTTAATACATTAAAGAAAAATTTAACAACTACGCCAATAATTGTCTATTCCGATTTCTCCAAACAATTTATGCTTGCCACTGACGTATCCAACTGGGGTGTTGGAGCTGTGCTCTTACGGGAAGATGATGATAAACGAGAACATCCGATCGCCTATGACAGCTGCCTCTTATCCTCCGCTGAACAAAACTATACAGTTGTAGAAAGAGAATGCCTTGCCGTAATTTGATCCGCATGACACTTTAAGCACTATTTACATGGTCCCAAGTTTAACTTATACACTGACAATTTGGTACTCACCTGGCTGAAGAATCGTCCGCAGCCAAAAGGGAAGGTAGCTCACTAGATCTTTGAATTATCTAAGTACGACTACGAAATAATCTACAAACAAGGGAGGCTCAACACTAACGTGGACTCCCTCTTCAGATCTACAAACTAGACCCAGAGTAGCCACACACGAAACCACATAACTTAGATAATTTATAAAGACAGGCAAACAGAATTCCTAGAATGGACTTAAACACGTATAATCAAATAATCAAATACTTAATGGACTATACCTTCCCACTGAACGGAACCAACGAATGATGACGGCAACTACAGCAACAGGTGAATTACTATATGGTACAAGACAATATACTATTTAGGAGTAACTAAAATGGCAATCCTTTACGAGTCATAACAACGGAAAACGTGACAGAAATACTCTATAATATGCATAATGCACCAAGTACAGAACACTTCAGCATAAAAACTACAACCAATAGAACAAGGCAACGATATTTTTGACCTAGTATCAGGAAAGATATAAGGAACTATGTGGAGTCGTGCGATATTTGCCAATGACAAGAAAAAACTTCACGAAACGAAGAACTGTGACCTATAAAAGTAGGACAAGCGTTTAACAGAATCAGAATAGATATAGTGAGGCCACTAAAGCTAACAGCGACATCGAAGAGATACATAGTAGTAGCAATAGACTACTTCATGAAATGGCCGGAAGCGAAGGCACTAGAAAAAGCAGATGTAATATCGGTCGCCTGGTTCCTATACGACGAAATAATATGTCAACACGGCTGCCCTAGAGAAATGTTATTGAACAGGAGATCAGTGTTTGTCAGCCAAATAATTGTGAACTTAACAAGGATAATGGAAACCCAACACAGACTCGTATTGACATATCATCCATAAAGCAATGGATTAACATATACCTGCTACCCAAATTCAAAATCTAAATGCCGAAATCCCAAATGCCGAAATCCCAAATCCCAAATCCCAAATTATAATTAGTATTTTTTGCCGAAATCCCAAATCCCAAATCCCAAATACTAGTAATTTGGGATTTGGGCAATATGTATAGATTAACAGAGCGTTTAATTAGACCCTCTGCAAGGCGTTAACAAAAAGCGTACAAGAAACTGATTGCGACTGGGATGTGCTGATATCTCCAGCCCTTTTTGCGTACTGAACAATAAAGAACAGAACCACGAAATACGAACCCTTTTACTTGCTCTATGGTCATGCCCTGACTCTACCATTAGAATTGAATGTTGCTACCTGGCCAGCTGAGGAATTCGACGAAGAACAGTATGAGGAATTAATCAAGAAGAGGGTTAGCGAGATATGAGTATATTTGTAGACGATAAAATAAAGGTCACTCGAAATATCAAAGATGCACAAAAAAGGCAAAAGGATACACACGACAGGAAGATCAGAATTATGGCATACAAAACTAGCGATATGGTGCTGGAGTATCACTCAGACTTAAAGACTGTACATGGTGACAAGTTTCAAAGCTGTTAGATAAAGACTTTACTATATCCATCGTATTCTAGGAAACGGGTTGTACATATTGAGGCGTACTGATGGAGAAATATTTAACCACTGGCCAGTTTACAGAAATCACCTAAAATCCTACAAAGAAAGGGATCTCGTATCACATAGATGACAGGAGGAGTAATACTTGAACCTTAAAAAGACATAGTGACTCAAGAAAGTGTGAACTAACTTTTATCGCACTTAACGGAGGCAACAAGAACAAATATGCAAGTGACCGAAGGATTCTACAAAAGAATTAATCAAATTTGCAGAGAATTATTATCAATTTCGAGAGAAGCACAAGTAGTCCTGAATAAAACAGGAATATACCTAATAGCTGAAGGCAAGACGGTCAACCTGGTGGAACTCGCAATCAGTACAAGAACAATGTGAGAGGACGATTCCTTGCTGCCGTATGTCATAGATGTCGTGACCGCTGCGGAGGAAGAATATGACTTAACAGAAGCCGTACTAAGTCATGATGCAACAGGATTGTTATCTATAGCAACAAATCTGAATAATTCTAGCGGACAACGAATGAATGCTTACAGAAAACTTGAGGAATACGTATATGACACCTAACAGGAATTAACAGCTACAGCACTCAAGTAAGAGCTGGGAAAATATTCTCAACGAAACAATGCACGAACACACACCATAGCCCTAAGGGCAAGGTCGCTCTCTTTCGAAGTCAGGATACTCTACCTAAAAAGATTTCAGCACATCACACCTCACTGGGTCTACAGATTACCCAAACAAGAATATGAGAGGTTTCTGCAATCATGTAGAGAATTGAACCTACATGTAACAGAGGACATTTTTGGGGAGTTAGTAGGGTCACAGGGGCTCTCCCTTGAAGGAAGAAATATCTGTGGTGATATAAAAACATTCGTAACTACTGAAGGTGACGAACAGAGGTGGTAGTTGTATCAAGTAAATTATGTGCCACCACCTGGGTGAAATACAAGGTGATTATTTATTCACCCTCGCACAACACCTTCAAGTAGTAAAATATGGGTAGCAACCAAGATAAAGGTAAACAAAAGAAAAATGTATAAAGAATCAAAGTCAAGTAATGGTAGAAGGAGAGATTTCTTTTGGGCAAAAAACTCACTTTAATTAGTTTCCTTTTATTAGTTTTAATAATAATTAATTTCAAATTTGTTTACTTTATTAATAATAATAATAGTAGATAGATTTTTAATTTGTCTTCTCTTAACTTTAGCAATAGATAGTTTCAAATAATTTCTTTATGTCAATAAATAAATAATTTCTAATAACTAATTTCGTGTAGCAATAGAGATAAGATACGCAAAAGCAGTAATATATCTCTATTGTTATACATTTTTGTAATAATTTTAATGATTTTGTGTATCGGAATAGCAATAGGGATAGACATCTCACCTATGATAATATTTCTATTGACCTATTCTTTTGATAAGTTTTAATAAATTTTAATAAACTCTTTTATATTTTGACAAAAGTTACACAAAAGTCTGTTTCAGTTAGTAATGTGTAAGTGGTAATAAAGATACTTTTACTCCACTTACTCATCGTACCTTCAGATAGTACACGTAATTGTATTAGTCGTAAGTATTAGTAAGTAGGTTTAGATCGACTGATTGTCTGACTTACAGTGTGTTGTGATATTATATACAATAAAATCATATTAGTGATATATGCGTGATAAATTTGAGACTGATTGGTGTAACTTTTACTTTGTTCTGCATAGAACGTGACAATACAGTCAAACCTGTATATAAGCATGCTACTGATATAAAGATATTTATTAAATCTATTAATAAATTTTAAATCTTATATTAAGATAATAATAACACACGAGTTAAATAAATAAATATTTAAATGGAAAAAAAATTTTATATCAAATATTTTTTAAAATATCTTTATATCAGTAGCATACTTATATACAGGTTTGACTGTATATTACATAATTGTTAATATCGGACCCCTATCGTATACTTATCGAGCTCCCAATAGGCATACAATAGGTATTCGATATTCTCTATTTCGACCAGTGTATTTTTCTTTTCTTACTACTCTTATTTGATATATTTTTGTTCACTTAATTAAAATATTATAAATATTACACAAGTTAAAATTGATATATCGAGTACATGATAAATGTTCAATATGATCATTTGTGTTCGATTTACATCCAATATACATGAAAGTTGTTACTTCAACATGTGCAATTAACTTACTTTCATAATTAAACTTTCTTGTTTCGATCATTGCTAATTGAATTTTTCTTTCTTTATTAAATTTTCACAAAATTTTGTCATTAGCATATTTTTTCTGAATCCGTGTCTTAACTTCTTTTTCTTTACATATCATACAATTACAAATATATTTATAATTTTTTCTAGAATTTATTAAATCAAATAAAGATTCCTCTCGGACGGTTGATTTTTGGATTTTATTTTTTGAGTAAGACATTTAAAGATATATTAGTAAAAGTTCTTTAATAATTTTATTTTCAAAGTGTTTTTTAAAATATTCACTTTGTCAAATTCTTGCTTTTTTATAATGCACAAAAATTATTTACAAAATTCAAAATTTGCATTTTCAAAATTCACGTCACCAAAATACACATCTTCAAAATTCACGTTGTCTCAAAATTTATTTGGTTAATGTATTTTTTTATATAGTAACAATTTATATTCATAAATATATATAGTAATGATTTATGTTTATTAATATAAATAGTATAAATTTTAATATATTACACAATACTCCTCTGATCTGATATCCTATATACACAAGTAAACAAATATCTCTTTTTAATTATCATTAATACCATCTCTCTCTCTTTAATATGCATAACACCTCTTTACGACCCATTTCTATCTACTCCTTTAAAATATATATAATATTAACAATACTATATTATACATGTATCATGATTTTTATAATGTAATACTATAATTCTCATAATATGAAGATATGAAAATATAAACTAGAGCCTCAATAAGTTATTTTTTATTTTTATTTTAATTTTGTGTTCTTAAATATAAGTATATGATTTTTCCTTTTTTCAACCTTACCTTTTTCTTGAATTTAAAAATTTTTAAAGTATTAAAAAATTAAAATACATTATTTTTAAGTATATTTATAAACATATATTATATATATTTTAACTATATATGAAAATAACGTATCATAAATAAATTTTCAAAAATATTACATAAGTACTTTAATTATTTCAAATAATATCATATAATATGTCCGATATCATACTTTTTGATATTAAAATATGTTAATATAATAATATAATATCATTATATCATCATATTGATATTAAAAAATATGATATAATAATTAATGTCTTTACCTTATTGTAATATAATCATTGATTCAACTATCTAAAAATACAATATAAGAATTACTTTTTCCTTTCTTTCTTTCTTAAGAAAAATTATTTTATTTAAATAAATTGGAATAGTTAGATAGTTAGTAAAAATAAAATATAAAATAATTTTTTTACAAAATGACAAAATCTAAATTAAAAAATAT